GATCTCAAGAGAAAATTGGGTGAAACATTTTCAAAAGTTAGTTTCAAGTTTGATCATGAGCTGATATCAGTTGGAGAATCATTGAAAGACCGGAGAGTACTGGAGAGCGATCTCACCCTAGCTTTGGGCTCTTCAGCAGCACACACTCACTGGGGTTCACCAGATCGGATGTGAGGAAAAATACTCACCGCCAATGATATCGGCTAGCGGTCCTGCCAAAACCACAAGCTGGTGTAGAAGTTGGAATCCAAGGGCCATCGCATCGAGTCTCAGTGGTCTACGAGCATGCCTTGTACTCAGAAGGTTCTCGGTTCGAACCCCGATGGGGTTAGAATTTCAGCACTCCGTGGTGTTATTTGATTACAATTTTCAATATTTCCGGCATATGCACTGAGTAATTTCCATCGCACGTATTCAGTAATGATTCGATGAAAAAAGCATTCAGTGAACAATCTGCTTCTCTCTCTCCACCTAACTATATTACTTCTTAATACTTTCACCTTGCCTCACCCTGCTGTGTGATTATTTCGATGAGTACTAAAATAGATTACAGGATTTCATCATAAGCTTACATCGGTTAGAGAACCATTGGGAAATCACCTACGAGTACTGGACAGTTGTTCCATCCTAGTGCCTGAGATTCTTCACCAGTACGTAACCACCAGGATTCGAACCCAAGACCTTGTGGTTACAAGGCGATCTAGTAGACCATTACAATAATTTTCGCTGTGAACACAATTCCCGACATTATCTCAATTGTTGTCACGCTTGATTGATTTAACTCAATACATAATTTTTTTTTGCAGTGTTATCTTACCAAAATTCTCCTCATTGTTGCGCAATCTTATTAATTCTGTACATCGTTTCTACGATCTATACATCCCATGATCTACTTTATCCAGTACATGATGAATTGTCTAACAGCTCACCACCTGGTCCCCATAAAATACCTGATACAATAGAAGGTGGGTAAACTTCAGTCTTCCACTCGAAAAACTCTCATGTAGCCACGCGTCCATGGCCACTGCCATATATGCTGTATTCACTGCCTTCAAACCGTGGCAGAAAAGTCGATTGCCAAACATGTCTGGCACTTCTAACCACAATGGTGGACATGCAGATCTATCTACTCAGAGGAGTAGGAAATCCTCTCATTCCAAACTTAGTGTGTAAATAGATGCGCTCCGGAATCCGAAAGGATCGATTGGAGTATTAGACTGTTTTAGTCATCGGATACCATGTGAACTTAGCAGCTCCAGTGCTTTGTGGATCACACTTCAAGTCAAAGGCTCGTCGCAGAGTGGCCCCTTAAAACAACTACCTGCTTCAGTCAGAGCATCCAGGCCTCTCGAAAACTATGAGAATATTTATGTGGAGAACCTCTTGGTGCCTATAATGTACCAAGTTTTTGATTCAACAATAATGTAAAATAAACATCACCTGGTAGGTAAATGACAAACCCCAGAGGGTGCGTGCGACCAAACAGCTTCCCTGTACATCCTGGTTGGTTTTCAATGATTTCCTAATTGATATTCAAATATAACTCTTGAAAACTAATCTGACGCTCGCTAGCGATTGGCTAAAGGGTGAAATTGCCTGGAAATGAGGACAAATACTCGCCGGTGGTATTGGCTAGTGCCAGTCACGTTGAAATTACGAATTGGTAGAAGTTAGAATTCACAGGCCACTAGTAGGGTCCCTGTGGCTGAATAGTCTACGAGCTCGGCTTGTAACAGGAGGGTCCTGGGTTCAAACCGTGGCGAGGAGGTGTGGTGTCGATGAATCCTAAGCCAGGACGAAACGGCTGTCCGTCCAGGACATCGTGGCTGGTTTTTAGTAGTTCTCAAACTAATATCAACCACTAGTCACACTTAATACACATCAAATCCCTACAAAACTACCTCTTGAAAATGAGAAATTATTTAAAAAACTCAAAATACTAATTTAAATTTACTTCAAAAACCAACAAACTGGCTTAAGAGGCAACGAAAACAGTCCTCCAGGTGACAAGACGGAGCTGATGAGAATAACCAACCAACAGCAATAAGAACCAGCCCCATTCGCCATCAACGGGAGAAATTTGAAAAAGGTAACTTCCGTCATTTATCTAGGAAGTATTGTTTCGACCACAGGCAAGCGGAACGGATGAAGATGTCAAAGCAGGCCAGATTCACAAAGGCAAGACACACCTTCATCAACCTGAAAACAGTTTGGAAGTCTTCTGCACTCCGCCTCAGCATAAAGAACAAGATTCGGTGCCACTATATGGGTCAGGACGAAGTTCAACAATAGCGTCCCCAGGGGTGTGAACCCTCTAATGACCTTGAACGCATGCTAGTCGTTGGCTGACGGCACTTTTCATTATCATAACTGAAATATCAACCCTATTCACCAACTAAGAAACAAATTTCACTCAGATCACGTTTTTAAGTACTGTCTGGACATTGTGTTAATAGGTCGTTATACTGAGAATTAGGGTTAAGTTTACGATTAAGGATAGTTTCAGATTTGGTATTATTTATTTTGATATGTTTTGCTGTCCACATTTTACCAATAAGTAATCGTCGGTTCTCTTGCTGGAAACTATAGTAATTCAACCGACGGCTTTTGGGGAAGACTTCAAAACAGGATAAGAGCGATAAAAGGGTCACAAAATATGCTCACATCTTCAGTCACCTCGGTGAATACATGTACAGAAACTGATCTAACTTAAAAACTGATACTCCTCATTATAACTGGGACGTATTTTTAAGTCATGTCAGACAAAGACACCCCCAGTTTAATGTGCTTTCATGCATTTTCATGTAAATAAGCATCTTTTTTTGTGCGAAAATTTCCCACTTTTATGATTGGTTGACTCAAGGTCACTCGTGCGTTCGCATCGCTTGGGACGCTATTGTTGAACTTTGCCTGTATCAGAAACTTGGCTATCACGTCACCAAAATCATTTCCAACAGGTTGCAGGCTTTCATCAACAACTGCCTTCGATGGCGCCACACTAAAGATCAAATGGCCGGACAAAAATAATCAGCACCAAGAAACTCTGGCAACAAACCAACAAGAACCTATTGTTCAACAATTATGTAGAAGGAGATGGATTAGGCATACGCTGCGGGGACCATAACACACCAAGCCATCGGTCGAATGGGGAACGACGATTGGATGGTCCAAGAGTGACACGCAGGAGGTCATGAGAGATTATGGGTTATCGTGGAGCTAGTCAGCTGAAGAGGACAGCACCAAATAGAACAAAACGGAGATGTGCTGTTGAAGTCAGTCCTATGTTCGACTAGGAACTCAAGGTCGGTTGGTCGGTCGTTCGGTTTTCGACATAGAACTTTGCACATATGTGCGGCAGTTCAAGTCGCCAAACTCCATGTAGCACACAAAGCAAGAGAAGAAAGTAGAAGAAATGCATAATAGAGACAGTAAAGAGGTGTGAGACAAAGGAATAGTAATAACGGAGAACAAAACAGTTTTATTGGAAATCATAAGTCACAAGGAGTGGATGCATCTGCGCCACTGAGAACGATTTTGAGCCATGTCACCAATTGTTTCCAACCATTGGTTTTCACCATCCCGAGGACCCCAACCAGTCAACAAGGCAGTCTACACCTTCCTACGTGGCTGGCTGGCTTAGACTAACTGTTGTGGATTTCATTGACTGGTGAGGCCATGTTTTGGTTTGACCGCCACTAGCTCTTTTCCAGCCTGACCCTATGTCAGCTAACATTGCCCGTCGAGGAAGACGATGACTAGGCATACGTAACACATGTCCTAACCATGTCAGTCGATGTAATTTCACAGCCTCGTCGATTGATTTTCCCTCCCACCTACCTAGCACTCGACGCCTAACCTCAATATTGCTCACCTTATCATACCACTTCACACGGGAGATAGAACGCAGACACCTATGATCGAATACAGATAATCTTTTCATGTCTTCTGCTCTCAATGGCCAGGTCTCACAGCCATAAAGGAGGACGGAGCGGACTGTTGAGCAGTACACACGCCCTTTGGTCGATAGTTGGATATCGCGTCTACGCCAGAGACGGCGTAAACTGGCATATGCGAAACTAGCCCTCTGTATTCGTACTGAGATTTCGTCTGAGATCAACCCGTTGGGGCTGATGGTACTTTCCAAGTAAGTGAAGCAGTCAACGTGCTCTACCAATTCACTTCCTATTTCTAATCTAGGGGTCGGTGAAGTCCAATCTTGCAGCATCATTTTACACTTTACAGGGGCGAATCGCATGCCAAACATACGAAGATTGTTGCTCAGGGTGTTCAGTAGACTCTGCATTTTGTCAGCGTCCTCGCCTAGAAGGACTATATCGTCTGCATATTCTAAGTCGACGAGATTATTCCCTGGTAGCAAGTCAATCCCTGAGTCGCTGAAGTGTGTTAGGGAACAATACTACTACTAATAATAATAATAATTTATTGTATATTATGATGAAAACTATTTGAACTAAAAATGATCAGAAATCCAACAAGCAAACGAACGAACAAACAAGCGGACATTATCTACAATGAACTTTGAATCAACACAAAAAATAAAATAAAAACAACGAAAATAAAAATCACAACAATAAAAATGACAAAAAAACAACAAAGCAAAATAAAGCAAAGTCAAAAAAGAAAACAAAACAAACAAATTATGATGATGTCAAATAATGATGAAAACATTGTGTCATGGATGGATGGATGGTTATCATCGTTGTTAAACTGAGCCAGGGGAAAATGACATAATGGCCTCCCCATCACAGAATGAAAGACTACTACTACTACTAACTAACTAACAGTAATCAGTAGTGCTGGTAACACATAAGTAGCAGCAAAAGTAGCAAAAAAAAGCATAGTCGCATAATGAAAACAAAAGCAAAATAAAATAATGATAATCACAAGAAAACAATCACATATTAATGGAGTTGAGTAATTCAGAGGGGAGGAGAGCAGAGGAGATGGAACTAGCACCTAGGGGAGGGGCAGAGAGAGAAAGACGTTAAAAAATAAGAGGATAAACCAAATCACAGGATAATGAGCTGAATGTACGTACATGTAGTACTTGTCATCGTAGAAATAGAAGTAAAGGTAAACTGTGAGACAGTAAAACGAGAGCACTGTCGATAAAGTTATGCAGAGCAAACAAGAAAAGTAGTCAATGATCACGCGATAAACATAACGAAAGCATGAGGATAATCACACGGGTTGAAATGTAAGCGCACCCACACACGCACAAATACGTTACTCCTTTACTAACCCACCAATGTAATTGAAATAACGAAAAGAAATATAATCCTTCAAGATATTCGGTAGAACAAGCTGTTGAATTGGTAGTGTCTTCACAGAACGTAATAAAGATAAGATAGCCAGTCGTGAAAGGGATTGTAATGATGGAACTTGATCTAGGGAGAGGAAGGGAGAAGACAACAAAAAACAATGGAAAGGAGAGAAAAATAATTAGTTGGAACAAAAAAGGGAATTCTGAGGTGCTTGCGGAAGTCTGTGGATGGTTCCGCATACCGCAGAATTAAAATTTCCCCTTTTATTCCTTTACGTTCCAAGTGGAATATAGGGCTTCAGACTAGAGCTTTGAAGTCTCTGTAGCAGTAGTTTTATTTTCACGGGTCGCACACACACACAACCTTCCCTGTTTACCGCCCTTACTACCGGCTAGACGAGGGTTAGGAGTGCGTCGGCCGAGGGTCCACCCCCGAAACTTATGCGTAGTTGGCAAGCATTATACCGCTGCACCACCGACGCACAAAAGATGTTTGTGGGCCGATATCATAGCACCATTATCCAAATGCTATGACTCTCCCACCACTGATTTAACGTTCAGTCGGCGAGTTTAGACAGCTCTCTAAATCACCTCCCCACACCCATATACAGTCCACTAGTGTTTCGTAATCGCAGGACCCAGAAGACAACTAGTTGAGACTGGATACACATGGTCTACTGGAAGTCGTTTGAAAAAATTGTGACTGTATGAAGATTTTACCACTTGCCTCGAACCGCAGCAAGATATTCAGGGTTCTTAGGTCGATATTTTTTCACCCCACCTGTCCAGATCAGAAAGCCAGTATAGGTCCTTTGCTGGTCCACACCAACACCTTACTGCTGTTACATTCCTACTCACCAACAGTCCGACTTTTCTATCTCAGACTCCTAACACAGTGTGAACAACTTACACCATGACAGTAAGTGCTTTTAGTCCAATCACGGAAGTCCAATCAAAACGACCTTTCTAGCATAACAGAACTCGCAGGAACATTCGTCCCAGTTAGTGTACCTCGTTGGGCGGGGGGTCATTGAGATACGCAAAACCAACCGCCACGAACAAGTAGAAGCTATCACAATCAGTGATGCAACAGACAGAAAACTTAAGGTCTGCGGCCTGTCTTTGTTTGTTCTTTCTTGTTTGGTGTGTCTCAGTAGCATATTTATCACTTCTGCCCTGTGACACGGCAGCAGGAAGCACGGTCGTTGTTAATCCGGGCCCCGACCGATCCGGCATAATATTTTGTGAATTTGTTTGAATCATAGTATTGGATTGGGTAGCTGCTTTTTGTCTAACCGCTATCCAAACAACCTTTCTGACATGGTAGGACCTACAGGAAGATAAGTTCCAGCCAGTGTAGCTCGTTGGGTCATTGCGATATGCAAGCCCGACCACCACGTCAAGGTAGCAGCTACCGGTCGGGACCAAAGAAAGGGTTGGGCACACGCCAAGAATACTGTTGAGTAACATCACACACATATACCAGGCCAGGACCTCGAGTGGAATCCGAAATGGACACCAAGGAAGAGATGAAAGCCCATGGACGAATCTGAAGTCAGCTAAAAAATGACTACAGACAACAGAATGAGGTAGAAATATGCTGCTGTTCCACTAAGAGGAATCCAAGGGAATAGTAATAATGATAATATCAACGATAAAAATATGTGTGAACTCACTTACATTGCACAGATTTTAACAATTGATAAACAGGACTTGTATGTGAAACATAATCAATTGGAGCATGATTTTCTTTGTCAATAGGAGATGGAAATGCACCGAATTCTAGTAGCAGCTGTGTTATGTCGATATCATCTAGCTTCGCTGCCATGTGTAAAGGTGTTGTTAATCGTACACCACAATTGGGATCTGCACCTAAGAGAGATCGTATACACGCATACATATAAAACAAACAACAAAGAGTAGATAGAATACAGGACTCATATATATATATGTGTAAAACTTGGCCACTGTGGTAGTACGTAATTCCATACTAGTTTGTTTATTAGATATATCACATAGTGGGACAGTATTACTGTTTACTGGATGACACAGTTTCGAACACAATTCATTATAGTTCATAATCATATCATCAATTATAATCACACGACTTCGTAACTTGAGTTTTATCGTTTTCTTTGTTCTCTCCTATTTGTCGTCGTTGGGGCAATCGAATTTTCCAGATATCTGGGACAGGTGTTGAATCTTAATAATAATAATAATAATAGTGACGACATGCATGTCAAATCTGCTCAAGATAATGACAACAGCGACAATAAGGAATCTAAATCATAAGTAGTAATTCCATACAAGGAAGGAACCTCGGAAACCTTACGCAGAATACTTAACAAGGCAGGCAGAAATAAAAGTGGCTGGCGGTTAAAGGATCAGTTCTGTGGAACCAATAAAACAAAACAATCTAGTTTATCTAATACCCTGCAATGACTGTCAGGTCAAATACATAGGTCAAAGTAGTAGAACAGGTGCAGTGAGTCAGAATAGCCGAGCATAAAACCTACCAAAATCTAGATCAGTTGACCCGAATAAGACAAGAAATCTGGAGAATAGGATAGTTCAGCTACAGCACTCACTACATGGAATTACACACAAACATACAATAGGCTGGATGGGATAAGATGACAGTTTTAAAATCTAATGTGACAGCAGGGTGGAGAAAGAGATTGATGTCAACAGAAGCTTTGTTTATCGAATCAACTGAAGATACTACGTGTAATAGGAATGATTCAACACCTGTCCACCCAGATATCTGGAAAATTCCACTACCCCAACGACGACAAATAGAAGAGAACAAAGAAAACTATAAAATTCAAGTTTCGAAGTCTTGTGATTATAATTGATGATATGATTATGAACAATAATAGATTGTGTTCGAAACTGTGTCATCCAGTAAACAGTAATACTGTTTCACTGTGTGATACATCTAATAAACAAACTAATATAGAATACAGGACGTTTATGACTCCATATGAAAATGTTTATTTGTGTTTATTAGCATTTGCTATCCACAAATATCATCGGACACTTACCCTTATGGTTTTATAAAGGAGAAAAAAGATCCTCCCCCCCTCGCCACAGCTCTATCCTGGAACACCTGATCGAGTCTGGACACTAAGCACCCCACCCCAAAAAAACAACTACAAAGTTATCTACAGAATACATGGGGATCTTGCTAAAAGAGTACGAATTAAACTTCTTCAAACCACAGACACTATAGCAATTCACATAATTAAATCCCGAACTCTGCATACACAACCAAGTTTGTTCAGTCACTAAATCTGCAATGGATTTGATCTATGTTAACACTGGACACGCAATTTTTGTTTTTTGTTTCTTAATTATATTACTTTCTCTCCTCACCCCCGCCTCTATTAAATTTCTACTCTTCATTACCGCTGTTGTTAACTAGACTCGTTCAATTTTAGTTAAATTCTACTCAACTTTATCAATTATATTACGTAACTCAATTTGCTTATGTAATTCTACTTCAGTTTCTACCCGACTAACGCTTTCTACATTATGTAATTTGTTATCTAAAATTTACACTTCTAATGACAAATCTTTAGAAATATTCATTTTGTGGCTAAGACAATTTATGATATATATACATGCGATCGTACAGCTTGAGAATGATGTCACCGAAAAGAGCAACTCTTCGCTCTGAACGTCTTTCCTTTTAAATGTTTATTTCACCCTTCGACAGATTCTGGAACATAAACATTCTTACCGGCGTCCAACAATCGTCATATTTCTTGAACTGAAAGTGGTATTCGATTCCGTCGACCTAGAGGTACTATGGCAATGTTTGCCTATGAAGGGAATGCGGAGAATATACATTGCACTGATCAAGGCATTGTACTCGAACTCATACAGTCAGCCAGGTGAGAGCTTACGGCGAGTTGTTATCTGAAATGGTGACAACTAGTGGTGTCCGATAGGGATGACCACTTTCCGTCCCCATTTCTATTTAATTTCATCATGGATGTACTAATTGAATTAACCCTAAGTGACGTCAGCGACTCAGGGATTGACTTGTTACCAGGATATAATCTCGTTGACTTAGAATATCCATACGATATAGTCGTTCTAGGTGACAAAATGAAGTTGAGTCTTCTGAACAACTTGAGCATCAATCTTCGAATGTTTAGCATGCGATTCGCTCCTGTCAATTCCAAGTAAGATGATGCTACAGGACTGGACTACATCGAATCCTAGCTTAGAAACGGGGTGGAGTGGTGGAGCGTGTTGACCACTTCACCTGTTTGGGAAGTTGCATCAGCCACAATGAGTTGATCGCTAACGAAATCTCAGAAGGATACAAAAGGCTCCTTTTGTATTTGCCAACCCATGCCATCTCTTGCGTAGACATGATACCCGATTGTCGACCAAAGGGCGTATGTACTGCTCAGCAGTTCGCTGCATCCTCCTTTGTGGCTGGCTGTGAGCCGTGGCCATTGAAAATGGAAGACATGAAAAGGCTAGCTGTCTTTGATCATAGGTGTCTGAGTTCTATCTCCCGTGTTAGTTGGTACGACAAGGTGAAAAATATTGAGGTTAGGCATGAGTCGAGTGCTAAGTAAGGAGGGGAAGTCAATCGATGTGGTTGTGAAGCCTCTTCGACTGAGATATTTAGGACATGTATTACGCATGCCTCGCCATCGTCATCCTCGACGGGCAATCTTAGCAGACACAGGATGGATTAGGTTGGAAAAGAGATAGCTAGTGGTGGTCAAACCAAAACATGGCTTCATCAGTTAATGAAATCCATAACAGCCAGTTTAAGCCAGTCACGTAGGGAGGTGTAGACTTCCTGGCTGCAGACAATTGGTGATATGGCTCAAAATAGTCATTATCAATGGCTAGCGCATATGTATTCACTCTTTGCGATGATTTGTCATATCCAATAAAATTCAATTGTTCTTCTATATTACTATTCTTTCTCCCTCTGTCACTCACACTTCTGTTCATTATCTCTCTTTTGAATCTCTCTTTACTCTCTCCTATTGCTTTGTGCACAGTGGCAACTCGAACTGCCGCAAATATCTGCAAAGTTCTACGCTGAAACCAGTCAGTCAGTCAGGGGAGAAAAAATTATAAAATTAACACCTCCAAAATGTTTATATTTCGGTTTGAGAACAGATATTCGCCGATGACATCGTGTGCTTTTGGAAGTGTGTGGGCGGTTGTTACTTCCCGGCTGCCCACACCGTGGAAGTTGATTGATTCTTCGGGTACCTGAAACAGAAAGAGAGTTAGTGTTGCGTAACTGCAGAGCCCAGGGGACAACTGCTTGAGGCCGGTCACACACGGCCTGTATGAACTGGTTTCTGGGATTGGTTGCGTATTAGTAAACTTACCGCCGGTTACGGACCACCGTAGGGTAAGTCGGGATGTACAATTTTTTGGGTCGACCTTTTCTAACCCCCTCTCTCTGGATTGGAGAGACAGAATAGCTGGCTGGCATGCTGGTCATCTGAGGGAAACACCTCACTGCTGTTACACCCCTGTTCCCCAGCAGTACGACTTCGCCCTCAGACCCCCCAGCATAGTGTAAGAAAGATTCTTACACAATGCCGGTAACTGCTTTTAGTCTAATCGCTATCCTAACAACCTTCTTGGCATGGTAGGACCTGCAGGAACATTGGTTTCAGCCAGTGTAGCTTGTTGGGTCATCACGATGTGCAAGCCCGACCACCACGTCAAGGTAGCAGCTATCGGTCGGGGCCGATGACATCAGCTGACGGTGGTGCTATAATACATTGTGAACCAACAGAAGTGGTTACGATTGATGGGTCATTGGATTCCGTCCCAATGGGTGAATGGTCAACGAATTCGCTTCGTAACCGTAAGGTCTTGGACTAGGGGTCATGGGTTCATACGGCTAGAACGGAACAACCCCAGTTTTTGACGATCCTTTAACTGAAGCCAGTTTTCGGCTTAACATGAAATCAAAATGATTTGTTACCAGTAAATGTAAGAATAAGGTGAGCAGAGAAGATTTAGAAATGTCTCTCAGTTAACACTGGATTAATCTCCCAAAAAATTCTCCTTGTTACTATTTTCCAAAAATTGGTCCATATTTTCTAAACGTGTTAAACACAACTAATGATGTGTATAAAAAACAATTAGTCACTTGGAAAAAGATGTTAGCATGTACAATCTTTTAAAAAAGTGAACTATACCTTTTGAAAGTAGTAGATAAACACCAGCATAAAATCTTCTTTGTATAGCTATGTGTAAAGGACAAAGACCAGAACGTTCAGGAGAATTTAAACTTGCACCAGCATCTATTAAAACTTCCATAGCATGTAATGATTCTATAAGCATTATTGAAAAAGGGAAAAGATGAAGCCTACCATTTTGTGTAGCATAAATTAAAGGTGAACCCCAATAAGACGGGGGATTTACATCAACTTTACTGTTAAGTAGAAGCGATATAATTTCAGCTGATCCACTTAAAGCTGCATCACAGATAGGCGTTTGTCCATCAATATTAGAAGCATTTGCATGGACACCACTGTCGAGTAGCAGACGCACTGCTTCAACATTGCCTAATAAACATGCATGATGCAGTAGGGTATTATTGTCTGCATCACGAGAATGAATATTGAATGTTTGTATAAGATGTTTTAAATCATTATTATCACCAGATTTTAGAATTCGAATTGCATCAATCATGTGAAGATTTGTTTTCAGCAGTGAGTAGGTGACATTCAAACTTCAACAAGTGTGTGCGCGTGCGTGTGTGCGTGTCGAACAGGACGAGATCTGTAATGAAATGAAATGAAACGGGAAGAAAAGTGAAAGTTACATTTTTTAAATTTAACCATATCGAATTATTAGAAGTGATTGTTATACGAAGTAAATTTATGCTGATCAGATTAGTTTTAGACTTCTGACTGAGTTTCAGTGTGACTGACTGACCGACTGACTGGTTTCAACGTAGAACTTTGCACCGATGTACATCAGTTCGAGTCATCACACTTCACTTAGCACACAAAGCAAGAGAAGAAAGTAAAAAGAAGTGAAAAACAGAGACAATAAACAAAGATATGAGGCAAAAAGAATAGTAATATCGAAGAACCATATAGTTTCATTGGAAATTTTGTCTCAAGGAGTGGATGCATCTGAGCTAGCCATTGACAATGATTTTGAGCCATATCACCAATTATCTCCAGCTTTCATTGGTTTTTACCGACCCGAGGACCCCAACCAGAAAATCTACACCTTCCTACGTGACTTAAACTGACTGTTGTAGATTTCATTGACTGATGAGGGCATGTTTTGGTGTGACTACAACTGGATCTTTTCCAAACTGACCCTATGTCAGCTAACATTGCCCATCGAGGAAGGCGATGGCTAGGTATACGTAACACGTGTTCTAACAATCTCAATCGATGTAACTTCACAACCTCGTCGACTAATTTCGCCTCCCACCTACCTAGCACTCGACGTCTAACCTCAATATTGCTTGCCCTATTATACCACTTCACATGGGAGATAGAATGCAGGCAGCTATAATCAAAGACAGCTAGTCACGCATTTCATGTATTTCACTTCCAATAACCATGTCTAACTCACAGTCAGCCATAAAGGAGGACGGAGCCGACTGATGAGCGGTACACACGACCTTTGGTCGATAGCCAGATATCACGTCTCAATGTAGAACTCTGTACAATGATAGAGCAGCAGTTCAATTTGCCACATTTTATGTAGCACACAAAGGTACAGAAGAGAAATTCAAGTAGATTACAATGAACAAAAATGTGGGAGAGAATAATAATATGGAATAATACAGAGTCTAATAGACCTGTGCCATTAAAAGGAGTGAATGCATCTGTACCGCTGAGAACGGTTTTGCGGTATATCACCAACAGCCTTCAATTATCCCTGGAACCTCAACCAGATAGCCTAAACCTACCGATGTGGCTGGCCCAAAACATACTGTCAAATACTTCATCGACTGATGTTAGATTTTGATGGAATGTTGCTACAATTTGGTTTAACTACCTCTAAATCTTCCAGCCTAATTCCATGTCAGCTAACATTGCCCATCTAAGAAGGCAACGTCTCACCTTGCCCGACACGTGTCCTAGCATTTCCCGGCCGACGTAGCTCCACAACCTCATAGACTGACATACCATATTCCCTAGCACTTCGGGCTACACCTCACTTTTACTCACCAAATTATACTACAACAAGAGACATGGAAGTCAAACTCCTATGATGAAAGACGGAAAGCTGCTTCATATTTTCCACTCTTAATGACCATATCTCACAGCTATAAAGGACAGAGAGGACTGCTGTGCAGTATACGCGTCCTCTAACAGATAACCGGATATCACATCGTAAGTTGGCAAATGCTACACGAACCGTGCTGAGATGCAACTTTTTAAGCGAGGTGGTCAACACGCTGAACAACTTCACTCCCTGCCTTTATTCTGTTAATGCAGTCAAGTCCTGAAGCATCATCTTACATTTGACAGGAGCGAATCGTATGCCGAACATCCGAAAACTCCTACTCAAGGTGTTGCGAAGACTACAGTTTCACCTAGAAGGAAAATATCCGTATACTCTAAGTCTACAAGACTGTACCCTAGCAACACACCATTCCTTAAGCTGCTACAGTCATAGGCAACTGCTTTGGTAAATTTATGGTGAAATTAAATAAAATGGGAACGGCAGGCATCGCTGACGGGCACCGCGAGTTGTCACCGCTTCCCACGTTCGAGGGTTTACGTCTGACATGGCCATGAATACATGTTTTGTTAATATAGATATATACTAGGCAAAGCTGTGAGAATGGGTATTACTACATTTTACTCTCACACTAAAAATATCATGATATATATCCACAAAGCCACTATACGGAAGAGGTTAGAGTTAGGATGAATACGTAAACTCGTAAACCCGCACATTAAGATGCTCATATTACTCGCCCACCACGAATTCACAAACATATAAATATACTGCTTCATCTGATTGAACCCAGTAAGAGAATATCTTCGCAGATATAAGAAAAACGTAGAGATGCAGGAAGAAACTGGAAGAAATGGGATGATTTATTAGCTCAAAAGGAGAATGTGGGAAAATAGATTGAAAGATAGAATGCGGTAAAACTAGAGCTACTGGTTCATGAAGAAAATAAAAGACAGATTCAGAGAAGAAAATTTTCTTTATCGACGAAATCATCTTCAGAGGCTGTACAGTCTTATTTATACTTACAAAAATATATAGTGGTCTATTATTGAGTAATAGGGGGTGACATAATTGATATAATTACTCAGAAGTGGCTTAAGAATTGAAAATTGAAAGTTGTAAATTACGTGGTACTCAACGGAACAAAGATAGAAATCTGCTAGAATATGATTTAAAAAATATAATGTTTCACTTGTTTCTAAAATTTTGTTTTTACCTCACCCGCTAAAAGCTGCTGAAGTGTAGGTCAGACGTACAGTTATAACCTCTAATTCGCCGGATAACGTCGTCATAGCCTTCAATATACCTGGTCTCATAACACAGATACATAAGGAAAGACTAACATTCAGACCTTACATAGATGCTAGTGATTTCTTCAATAGGCCTTGTAATTCATCTCATATAGGAATTTGGAAATGTTTCATAGCAGGCCCCAAGACTCTAACCATTAAGCCGATAGACATTATGTGTAAGTGCTTCTGTATTCGGACAGGTAAGTATGAAGTTGTGCCGTTACCTCATACTTTTCCAGAAACCCGTTAGGCACATTTGACTTGAACAGGTCAACCGTCAGCATTCCTGCAGTCAAGAAAACCCGCATGATGACAATAAGTAAATTTTACTTCTATCAAATATGGCGTCTTCTAACAGGACCAAGAGAAGAAATACTTCCTGCCATCAGTACCTGGTGAGAATAAATTCTTTCTAGCGACCAAAAATTGGATAGACCCCAGACATAAATGGCTTACCACTGGCTGTAAGAAGCTTGTTGAGGCAGATAACTTTTTTGGCTTTCATTTTATTTCCGTAGTTAGCCTCATTTGCAGAAGCCGAGAATTTGATTTTGGCTATGTAGCAGATGCGCGACTACAGAGACAGGGCAGATAAATTCGAAAATACTGACCGTCTTGTTGACTAAAGACAATACAGAGTGCTCCTCGTTCGTATATGACTCAGCTGATCTGGATGCAGTGGAGACACAGAAAATGTGTGCACATTCCAAATACCCAAGCACCGATTTCATGGAAAGTCTGGTGTCACCGATAGCCAGGTAATGCACTAATTAACTATTTTTATTCCTTTTAGCTGTCATCATTAGCAAGTTTGTACCTGGTACAATGCACGAAGACGAAGTGAAGAAAACGCTGAAAGCGGCCACTAGGGTCTACTTCCACGACATGCATGATCACATAGCCAAAAAGGAAAGCCGGAGAAGAGTAAGTAGATATTTCCAGGTTCACTTAAGTGAGCAACAAACAGTTTCAATGTATGCCGTTCAACCAAATACTTATTTCATTTTAACAGGTTGGTAGAAACAAGACTATTAACAGGAGGAGTCCTTCCGTAAGCAACTTTCATGAAACGTATGCTGTAGATCTATGACGCAACTGTTATTAATATGTCATAGGTGTTAGGCCAAATAACCTTAATTAGTTTTTAAAACTGTCTAATAATGTCTACTATTATTCTAAACGTTATGATTACGAATGCCGTCTTTGATATGAATTACATGTATGTGTATATCGCTGGTTACACAGTAAATAGTTTATTTTAAATAATCTAACTATCATTACACATGTAGTCTATTTATGGATGTTATTTGAGCTGAACACAGAATTGTGTTTAAAAAAATTTCACTAATTGTGACCAAATATATAAATATAATTAAGTTGATATATTCAAAATTTCACGAACTTCTTACACATTAAGTAACCCTTTTATTATATTATTATCGGCCGTAAAGCTGTTAGTCTAAGTGTGAACGTTCATTACTGCTCAATACTAAAATATTTTCTTTTCAGGATACTTCCACGAATCTATTGGACGATCGCGGTCTGGCGTGATTAGGAAATCGCTCAAAATTAAGAATAATATCAATATTATTGTGTTTACAATTTGTAAATTCCAGCTATTTGATACTCCTGAACTATTAGTCGGGAGAATTCTTGTTATTTTTTATCAGTTGGGATTATTACTACATCTGTCCTCCAACTGAGTATCAACTAAAAGGTCTCCACGTATGCGAAACTTTAGACTAAATGTCACCATAAAAATATGGTTTTGAATGTTAAACTCTTCAACTTACTGTCTATTTTAGCGCACAAATATCACACTGAGTTCCATATCCACAGCTGTAGTAGCGTGACAATGACAAATCCCGCCAGGAATTCCCTCTTCACTCATGTTTCTGTCATTGTATCAAAATGAAAAGTACACTATTGAACAAATATAAGCACAATGGTGGAGTTAGACAAGATAATGATGGGCGCAGGTAAAGTGTCACAGCTAAACTCAGGGTCTTGCAAAAGCTGAGCTTCAAGAACAGATAAGACACTGATAATGCTATGAAATATTATTCGGAATCAAAGCATGCCTGCTTTTTGGACTTGAAGATAATAGACACAGTATTCTAACTATTTCCTAGATAATTTTTCTGTAAATCTATACTGTTAGGTAGGTTTAGAGCCTTTAGGATTAAGGTTCAGGGTTAAACTTAGGATTATTTTTGGTGTTAGCACTAGGTTGAAGAACAGTGTTAGAAACATCTATGGATCTCAAAGTACCACGACCTGCAGTCAGCCGGATGAATGCATATATCGCACACGGTATGATTTACCTATAGATCATCTGTTCAGTGACTGGAGGACATTCTTATTATTATTGTTTCCTTTAATTCCTAGAGGAACATAGGGCTTCAGCCGCGCGTCTCCATTGCGTTCGGTTCTCTGCTAGAGTTTAACCTGGCTCCAAGTCTGCCCACACGCTTTCATCTCCTCTTCACATGGCCTCCTCCAAGTCACCCTTGGACGACCAACTCGCCTCTTCCCTCTAGGGTTACACTCGAGCAGTGGCTTGTCTAGTGGTGTCATTTGATGGTTTGTTTTCTCAGAGTATGACCAATCCATCTCCATTTCCTCCTGCATATTTGTTTCGCAATTGGCTCCTGGCTGGTTCGCTCATTGCCAGAGATCTCTGTTGCTGATCTTCTCTGGCCGGCCATCTAATCCTGAGTGGTATTGAGCGAAGACAACTGTTAATGAAGGTCTGTAGTTTGATTGAGATGCTGTTTATGACGCGCAGTGCAAGTCTCTGATCCGTATAGTGAGTAGCACTGACTGACTTCACATTGGAGTTGAAAATCCGGATCTTATCTTCGTTTTGCTGCTGAGTGCTGTTGACCTCCACACAGACTTGAGAGTAATGAAAGCTTGTCTTGCTTTCCCGACCCTCGCTGCTTTGATATCCTCGTCAGTTCCGCCTGTAGTTGAAACTATGCTTCCCAGGTAGGTAGGTAAAAGAGGTTGTTTCTTTCAGGTCCCTCTCATTTTTGCTGATCACCGTCTGTTTTTGTTGTTATTGTCCAGGAATCTTCATCACCTCTGTTTTCTCTATATTCACCTGAAGTCCTATCTTTGATGCTTCTTCTGCACACTTGTCGCTTTTCGCTTGCATATCTTCCAGTTTGTGGGAAATCAGACATATATCATCGGCGAAGTCCAGATCCTCCAAGTTTTTTGTATGAGTCCATCTTATGCCTGTTTCCTTTCTGCTAGCCGCTGTTTGTCGCATTATCCAGTCTACTGCAATCAGGAAAATCACTGGCGATAGTAGGCAGCCAGCCTTGTCTTACTCCTGTCCTCACTTCGAAGGGTTCCGTAAGTTTCCCGTTGTGGATTGCTTGGCATTCAGCATTGTCGTACAGCTGTTGGACGAGATGTATAATTGTCGGTGGCACCCCATAGTAGCGAAGTAGTTGCCAAATCACCTCTCGATCGACGCTGTCGAAGGCCTTTTCAAAGTCGATGAAGTTGAGATAGAGAGTTGACTGCCATTCCAAGCTTTGTTCAATGATGATTCGTAATATGGCGATCTGATCAGTGCATGACTTGTTTCTCCTGAATCCAGCCTGTTCCGGTCAAAGTTTTTCATCCAGAGCATGTTTGATTCTCTCCAGGATGATGTGGCTTAGTATTTTGCTTGGGATGGACAGGAGCATAATTCCACGCCAGTTCTTGCATTGACTTAGGTCTCCTTTCTTTGGTAGTTTGAATAAGTGTCCTTTCTTCCAATCCTCGGGTACCTTGCCTTCTTTCCACACCTTCTCCAGTAGTGGCGTCATCAAGTCCGCTGTTGTCTCTGGGTCCATTTTCAATGCTTCTGCGGGGATTCCATATGGTCCTGCTGCTTTTCCAGCTTATAGCGTCTTGATTGTCTTCGGGACTTCTGATTTCGTCAGGGGTTCGGTGTTCACTGGTAGCTCTATCTCCGTCGTTGGTATTGTTGGGCGCGTTGTAGGTGGTGGTCTATTTAGGAGTCTTTTGAAGTGTTCAGCCCAGTGTTTCCTTTGCTCCACTTCTTTGGAGCACTCCGTTGTCATCTTTCACCGGCTTGATTTGTGTCAAACTTCTGCCCGATAGGTACCTAGTAGTTTGGTAGAGTGTTGCGAGGTCTCCTTTGCCTGCAGCTTGTTCTGCTTCACTTGCCATGGCTTCATAATATTTTTTGTCTTCTCTGGCACTCTGCTTCACTCTCTTGTTCAGTGTCTTGTAGCTTGCATTCAAATCCTGATTTTGTTGCTCGTCGGTGCACTGGAGAATCTTTTGTTCCACCCCTCTCTCTTCTATCAGTCTCCCAGTGTCCGTAATGAGCCACTGTTTGTCCTGTCTCTTCTTTCTGCCTAGAACTTCCATGCAGGTTTGACTCCACACTGTCTTCAAGTTGTTCCAGTGTTTTTCGACGCTGACCTCTTCGCTAGTGTTGATTTGTGTCTCGGCTTTGTCCTTTATGCTTGCAGTGAAGATGTCCTTTGTATCCTGGTCCTTCAGTTTCTGAGTGTTGAACTTGGCTTGTGGTCTATCTGCAGCTACTGTTTCTCTGAAAGCTTTTAATTGGATTTGGATTGTGCCTTGTACGAGATAGTGGTCTGAGCCAACGTCTGCTCCCCTTCTTACTTTTGTGTCCAGTAGGCTGCCCCTCCACTTCCCTGAGCAGCATTGAGATGAAGTCGATTTGGTTTTTGGTTCGCCCATCTGGTGACACCCATGTAGCCTTGTGGATATCCTTGTGTTTGTATACGCTGCCACCAATCACTAGTTCATTGAAGGCGCAGAAGTCGGCGAAGAGTTCTCCATTTTCATTCATCTCTCTCAGAGCTTCTTTACCCATGATGAGTTCCCTTCCTGTGTTGTCTGATCCCAGTTTGACGTTCATGTCTCCTATTAGTATTTTAATGTCGCCGACTGGAGTATTGTCCATTGTTGCCTGTAGTTGTCTGTAGAATTCTTCTTTTTTTTGAGGTCTGTGCTGTTTGTCGGTGCATAGCGTTGTATAATTGACACTTTCCTCCCTTTGAAGTTGAATCTGGCGGTCATTATCCTGGGCGAGATCGCCTCCCATTGCATCAGGGCCTTCGTTGCCGTTGGTGACATCATGGTAGCCACGCCCTCGGTGTGTGAGTGGTTATCCTCTGGGTGACCGGAGTAGATCACTGATCACCCGTTGACAATTTGGTGAGTCCATTCCAGTTCCATCTGCTTTCACATATCCTCAGTACTTGAATTCCGTATCTTTTCATTTCCTTTGCGATCTGGGCAGCTTTGCCAATCTCGTACATAGTACGGACATTCCATGTCCCCACACAGACTTTTTGTTTTGTCTCCAGGAGATACATCGTGCTGAAGTTTCTGTAGCAGGTTTGTTTGTAGGGTGGGGTTGCTAGCCTCACGCCTGAGAATGGGAGAGAGAAAAGGTTAGTGTTGCGTGACCGCAGAGCCTAGGGAACAACTGCTTGAGGCGGGTCACACGCGGCCTGTTTTTGTTTGTTCTTTTTTGTTTGGTGTGTCTCAGTAGCATATTTATCACTTCTGCCCTGTGACACGGCAGCAGGAAGCGCGGTCGTTGTTAATCCGGGTCCTGACCGGTCCGGCATGATATTTTGTGAGTTTGTTTGAGTCATAGTATTGGATTGGGTAGCTGCTTTTTGTCTAACAGCTATCCAAACAACCTTTCTGGCATGGTAGGACCTACAGGAACATAAGTTCCAGTCAGTGTAGCTCGTTGGGTCATTGCGATATGCAAGCCCGACCACCACGTCAAGGTAGCAGCTATCGGTCGGGGTCAAGTGTGATATAGACGGTAAAATCAAAAGTTATATCCACAGAAATGCGATTTGACTGGCAATTTATCCGAATCTCAAAGGCTTCTGATTTATAAGTAGCAAAGAGGAGAGATTAACGAGAACACTGTCTGATTTTGTAAGAAAACTTTGCTCAGAAGAAAAGGCAGACGATGTGTCATCCACTGTGGAAAACTGCCTGCATGATAATGGTTTGTCGACAAACATGGGAAACATGATGTTGACAAAGTGAATTACAGCACACTATAGAAAGTGTCAGACTTTCTACAGCTTGGCTTCAGAGTTGATAATACTACTATTAGAATAAGATGCAGACTGAACGCTGTCCTGAAAGGATCATCTCCAACCACGAAGCTTGCATTTATCTATCATTTGGACAAACTCCCAGCTCATGTTACCTCCAACTGTGTCTACCAGTTTACTTGTACGTCGCAAAGCATTTGCATTGGAGGAGGAAACAGAAGGGTTATTGTCCGCATTTCTGAACACATAGCAAAGAACCTGAGAGTGAGGGGCTCACAGACATTAAACAGTGTGATTGCGCGACATCTACTGGATACTGGCTATATTTTGGACAATCTGGCGAAAGAGACCTAGACTGCTACGTTTTACTGAGGAGATTACCATCAAGCGACTTAAACCAGATCTTAGTATATAGAAAGGAACAGTTGTAAAACTCGCCCTGTCCTGCTGGTGATAACAAAGTATACAAATTTTGTTGTGTCATCTTATCTCCTATTTAGAAAACTTTATTTTTCGTCTAAACATAACACTCACTATCGTCCTGCTTTTTGACTGTCTTATGAAAACATATACATCATGTGATTACGTAACCTAATTCTTGTTTTACCCTGTCTAGTTAAACTTTGTTTCTACCCAGTAAATATTTGTTGGACTTGGTCCTTTTGTTTTTAAGCAAAGTCGTCTAATTTGAATTGGACACTAGTAACTAGTGTGACGTGTCTGGTCCTTTTTCTGGTGCGGACTGAATACTATCAGCCAGGTTTTGCAATGTGGCCACCATT